CCGATACAGGTATGATGTCAGTGATCATTGGTTGCCCGAAACTCTATCGACTGGACATCAATGACCTACACGAGCGTTGTCTGACTGTCCAATCGTTACGGGCAATGATCGACAAATGTCTAGAGTATCCGAAACAACAGTTCAGGTATAATATGGGCGGTAAATGGGATCTAAAACCCGATGACTATTTCGGGCTTATCTATAGTCGTCGGCAACCAGTAGTTAATCTCGAGATTGTCGGTCTGTTGTCGGCGGGTTGTGAACAAAATTATTTGACCGAAAATTTCCGGAAAATTTGCCAACAAATTGGTTGTGTCAATGAAAATGATATTAATATGATTTTCTGAGTTTTTTGATGTTTTTTTGTGATATATATAAAATTATATTAATTTTTTTTTGTAATTTATAAAAATAATAATTTGTGTTAATATAGTCTATAGACTAATATCACATAAAACTTATTGATATTTAAAAAATTATTGATATTTAAAAAAATTATTGATATTTAAAAATTATTGATATTTAAAAATTATTGATATTTAAGAAAATTATTATACTATTAAATATATAATTTATATTATTATTATTAATAGTTTTTTGTATTTAATTTAAAGTCATTTGACCCCAAAAATACATTTTTTATATAAAAAAATACTTATAATTAATTAAAATAAAATATTTTATTTTTTTGAAAACTATAAAAGTTTTTATTAATATATATAACTATATATTATATATATATTAATAAAAACTTTTATAGTTAAACAAACTAACTTTACATACAATTATTATATTTAAAATTAAAATTCTATAAATATATATAATTTATGATAATTTCTAATATATATTATATATATATATATATATATATATATATTGTTAATAAATGTTAATTATTTTGATGATATTATATAATACAATAGTTTTAAATAAGTAGACAACAACAACAACAACAAAAAAACAACAAAATTAATTTTAAGTAAATTTATGTTTTTATAAAAAAAATAATTAATAATATAATTATAGTTTAGATACAAAAATTTTATCTTGTTGAATTTTATCTTGTTGTTGTTGTTTTAGTTGTCTAGATTTTAATTTCCATAGACAAACAATTAGTCCTAGTAAAACTACCATGATAATAGTAGAAGCTAGATTCAAATAGACATAACTAGCGGGTAGGGTATGCATCAAATGGCCCAGTATGGTCGCGGCCAGTAATATACCTAGATTATGGGCTAACATTATCAGTGCACCTACAGTATCGTTAACGGGTACGGTCATTTCAACTAAATTGAATGCACACCCGGTAACCGGACCGTAACCAATACCGTAGCCAATGGTTATACACCACATAGCTATAGGTGTCGGATCCAGGCACAGGTAGATAACTAGCGTAATCAACATTATTGCCAGTGAAACCAGGAGGATAAGTGTTGGCCCAATATATTTACTGACACCTATACAAACTAGTTGGGCGGAAGCAATGGCAATATTGAGGCCAGTGGTCATGAATGCCGATGTTTGCGGTGTCAGGCCCTGGCCGTATAGTTCGGCAAATTTCGGGAAATAGTTCATAATGGCTGTTATGTTTGTAGTAGCAAACAGTACCATCAATGTAGCCATCAATAGTGTCAAACATGTTTCGGGATCAGGTGCTAGGTCATTTTTTAGTTTTTTAACCAACAATTTTAGCTTGCTAATTATGCCGTTATTATTTGTAGTATTATTATTATTATTATTATTACTATCGTTATTATTAATAACTGTTGTTACCCGAGGAACGTATGGTCTAATTATATACAGTGTGAACATTAATATACTACACAAAACAAATAGTATACCTAGTATCAAATAGGGTATACTTAATTTTGATGGTGTTACCATTGTACTACTACTACTAGTAGTGCTATTATTATTATTATTATTACTTGAACTATTTTGAGCATGCTCAATTTTTTTTGATAAAAATGGTTCAACAATTAACGGTGCTACTATACCCGACGTACTCAATATCATGGTCAAACCCTGGATATAGGGTCCACATTGGTTGCCCCATAGTTCCAATATCCATACTTTCATTATACAACCGGTTCCCAAATCCAGGAACTGTTGGACGGGTAGATAATAGTCTAGTGTTGACAACCCGGGTAATCGGGTAATAAATACCGACATTATACCCGTTAACAATAGCAACATGGTACATATTAGCTGATTGTTTAGGTAGCGTGTCAACAAATTGACTAGATTAAAAATAATTTTTAAATTAATTAATTTATTTATGAAAAAAATTTAGCTAGATAATTTTATTTATTTTTTGAAATAATAATTAATAACTTTAAATATATAATAACTTACAAACAAAACTAAATATCGATGCTATTGACGCATACTGTAGTACTAGAGATATACCAGCTAGATCAGTTTTATAGATAATAGCCAGATCGTTTAGTGATACACCAATCATTGTTAAGGGTAATTGCTATTATTTAGTTTTTTAAGTATTATTATTAATTATTTTTTTTAAAAAATTAAAATTTTATATATATATATATATATATATATATATATTACCTGTACAAAAGCGCATATATAGATAACTATAGTTAACACATATTTATAAACTATTGAATTATTTGTTGACATTTTTGACATAATTGCAAATTTTTATTTTATGAATATTATTATTATTATTGATGTTTTTTAATAATTATAATTAATTATAATTTTAATTATACTAGAATTTAAAAAATTGTTAACTTAGGATAATGATATTAAATACAATAATGTTATTAACACTTAAATTTTTTATATATATATATATTATATAACAATAATAATACAAAAACACAGACACAACACACAAGTTTATATAAATGTTATTAATCTATAAAAATATTTATACATTTTAAACAAAAATTCAATAACTTTATAACTACAGTATAATAACACATGTATAATAATAATAATAATATTATTATTATTATTATTATTATTGTTAATGTATTGTAAATATCAATAGTTTTTTACTATAATACAATAAAATACAAAAATAAAATAAGTATTGTCATTGTTAATGTTAATTGTTAATATTGGCTAACTTTAATTATTATTATTATTATTATTATTTTTATAATAAAATTTCTAACAATGATGAGATTATTATTATTGTTATTTTTTATTATTATTATTATATGTGTGTTTAGATTTATTTTTTTTTATAGGACTAGAGGTTCTATTAATTAATTAATTAATTAATTCATAATTATTGCTAAAAAATATTCATATAATAAAAATAATTTTTCTATTATTATATTATAGTTTATGTATTTTTTGCGAAATAAAAATTTTCTAACTTATATTAAAGTTATTACCAGAGAATATATGATTTTTATTTATTTTTTTTTTGGTTAAATATTATTCAGATAATAAAATTTAATAAAAAGTTATTTATACTACTAATAAATAAAAATATCAAATATTTAATAGTATAACTTATTTTATTACATTTTTTTTGTTTGTTATTATTATTATTATAAATTATTATTTTATATTATGTTTTGTTAATTGATATTCAATTTATTGATAATAAAATTTGTAACAATGATGAGATTATTATTATTATTTTTTTAATTATTATATATGTGTTAATTTTTAAGGCTCTATTAATTAATTCATAATTATAGCTAAAATATCTATATATATATATAATAAAAAAAATTTCTATTATTATAGTTTATGTATTTTTGTGGAAATAACTTATATTAAGGTTATTACCAGAGAGTATATGATTTTTATTTTTTTTGGTTAAATATTATTCAGATAATAAAATTTAGTGACAAAAAAAACATTATATAATTTATATATATTACTAATAAAAAATATCAAATATTTTATTGCATATTTTTTGGTTATTACAGGTATTATTATTATTATAAATAATAATAATAATTATTTAGTAACTAGTCATATACTATATATAAAATTAAATAATAATTTATTGACATTATGATTATCTTATTATCAATTAAATTAATTATATATTTTTTAATTAACTATTTAAATTCATAATTAATAAGTTTAAAATCAAAAATATTATTTATAAATAAATATATATATATATATATATATATATATATATATTTGTAAATTTGTTTGTTTCTAATAGTTAGTAAAATATAAATTTTATATAATTTTTTTTTTGAAACACAATAACTGTAATTAAATATATTATAGTTATAGTATTAATACAATTAGCAAAACAAACCAATAGTTAGTATAGCAGTCAATATATAATTAATTGAAAATTATTTTTATTTTCTTATTTTTTATAAATATCAAAAAAATAGTAAATTTATCTTACTCATTGTTTAAAATATTATTTTTAAAAAAAATCATTATTAAAAATATTTTATTAAATTAGTTTTATTAGTTATATATACAGACAATATTACAAAGTTATCATGATGAATCAATTATTTATTTATTTTTAATATATCATCTTAAACTACTAATAACTTTTTTAATTTAATTAAAATTTATTCAAAAAAAATATATTAAAAAAAATATAATAAATGTTTTACACACACACTCAAAATATTAGTTAATTTTTTTTGTGTAAATATTTATTGATAATTAATTTTAATAGAAAAAAAATGTGATATTAACCAGTAATTGATATTTACATTAATATATCGATATATTTAATATATGATATTAAATAAAATTATAGAGTATTATTATAAACAAATATATATATATATATATATATATATATATATATATATATATATATATATATATATATATATACTGTATATATATAGATACTAAATACTTTTATTATTAATAAAATAAAATGTGATAAAAATAAGCGATTAATACCCACAAAAAAACTTATATTAACTGATATTAGATATCGTATTTGAAAAACAAATATATAGTATATATTTATATATGAAATTAAATCATTTAGTTTTAAATTTATTTTTGTTGTTAAAAAATTATTAATTTTTAAACAACAACACTAATAATACAATCAACACCAACAACAACAACAACTAATTATATAAAAAAAAATGAAACCTCAAGTAGTCTGTATTGACGACATTGAACGGTACGCATTGGACAACCTAAACAAATCGGTTGCCGATTACTACCGGAGCGGTGCTAACGATGAGCAAACATTGGCCGAAAATCGTCGGGCATTTGCCAGACTTAGGATTCGGCCCCGATTTTTGCGGGATGTTAGCCAACGGTCGCTGAGGACAACCGTTTTAGGTCAACCCATAGCTGCGCCAGTGTGTGCATCGCCGTCGGCAATGCAAAAGTATGTATACAGTATAACCCCCCCCCCCCCCCAAGTAATTAGTATATCTATTGTTTGTTTGTATGTTTTTTTCAATAATAGTTTTTTATAGTTATTTTTTTTGGGTATTTTTAATAAATATTTTAATTAAAAATTTTTATTTTTACAGAATGGCTCATCCAATGGGAGAGTTAGCCACTGCTAAAGGTTTTTAATGAAATAATAATTAATTAATAATAATTATTATTATATATAAATTATTAGTATTAGTGTTGTAATACTTATTTACACTAAAAAAGTTTTTAGTAGTATTTATTGGTATATCAAAAATATATAAACTAAAATATTTAGTTATTTTAGTCTATGATTACTTTAATTTTTTTTTAATTAATAATATTATGAAAATAGTTTAAAACAAATTGGTTGCCAATCAACTATATTAACTTATAATATACAATATAATAATATATATAAATAATTAGTTATCAATTGAAAAATTATAGTTTTTTTTTGTTGTTGATAATTTTTAATAATTAAACAAATCAATCAATTTAATAATATTATTATTATTATAATTATCAGAATATACTGTACTAAAAATATTAATATATATTTAAATATTAATTTTAATCAATCAATTATTTTCAATAATAAATATATTTAATAATAATAACAATAATAACTACTATTACTACTACTACTACTACTATTAGTTTTATTAAAATTATTTTTTATTAATATTAAATTATATATATATATATATATAGCGTGCGAAACAATGGACACAATTATGATATTGAGTACAATATCGACATCAAGTATTGAAGAGGTGGCCGCCGAGGCCAGTGTAGCGATGAAATGGTTTCAATTGTACATCTATAGGGACCGGGAGGTTACCCGACAGCTGGTCGAACGGGCCGAACGATCGGGTTTCGGTGCACTCGTACTGACCGTCGATACGCCAATGTTTGGCCATCGATTGGCCGATTCGCGTAACGGTTTTTGTTTGCCGCCACACTTGCGTATGGCCAACTTTGTGGCCGGTGCTCAGGCATCGGATGCCATACAAAACCGGCCAACAGATGGCCAGTCAGGACTGAGTGAATACGCACAGTCGCTGTTTGATCCGTCCATTGAATGGAAAGACCTTCGGTGGCTCCGGTCGATCACCCGATTGCCTATAGTAGTCAAAGGTGTACTAACACGAGAGGATGCACTGTTAGCCCTGAAATATGGTTGTTCAGCTATACTAGTTTCAAATCACGGTGCCCGACAATTGGATGGTGTTCCCGCAACTGTCAGTTAATTATTATTAGTAGTCTTATTTGATACTATAGATAAATAGATAACCGTTACCCCCTTCCTACCCCTCCCAACTCTAATGTCTTTTTTTTGTTTGTTTGGATAGATTGAGGCACTGCCTGAAGTGGTAAAGGCTGTACAAAATAGATGCGAAGTCTATTTGGATGGTGGGGTACGAACCGGAACCGATGTAAGCAAAAAAATAGTTTAATATATTATTACTATTTTTATTTTAGTATTTTTTTTGAAAAAAATATATATTATAGTTTTCTTTGTAATTAATATACAGTATAAACAGTTTATATATTTGTTTAAGTGATTATTGAATTTTTTTTATCATAGATAAGCTATGAATCAATTAATCAACAAAAAAAACTTATATATTATTAGTATTATTACTAATACTAATAGCATTTTGAAATCATTATCGGTATATATATAGTAAATTCAATAACAATATATATATGCTTAGTTAATAACTATTAAAAATTTTATATTAACTTAGATTTTAGTTATCAATAATCAAATAAATTATTTATATAATTAAAACTATTCAATCACAATTAACAACAACAAACACGCATACAGGTCCTTAAAGCACTGGCATTGGGTGCCAGAGCCGTATTTATTGGACGTCCTATACTATGGGGACTGGCCTATGATGTAAGTACAGTATATATCTACCAATTTATATATACAAAATATATATGGCTAATTATATAACTTATTTTATATTATTATTATTATTATTATTATTATTAAATAAGGGTCAATCTGGTGTGGAAAAAGTATTTTCAATACTCAAGCAGGAACTGGATATGGCAATGGCACTGTCAGGTTTATCTACCGTTACCGATATAGCTAACCAATCAACAACATCATCATCGTCACCATTGGTAGTATCAGAAAATTATTATAGATCACAATTGTAATTATTTTAATTTTAAAAATATATTTTATATAATTAAACAAAAATTATTATATAATATTTTATATAATTAATAATTTTTTTTATAATTATTATTATTATATAATATTCTATATTTTAATTTAATTATTGATTTTTGTTGTTATTGTTGGTAATAATAATAATAATAAAATAATAATAAAAAAATAATAATAATAAAATAATAATAAATTTAAAATTTAACAGAAAAAATGTAATAAATCAAATTAAATGAAAAATTATTAATTATTAATTATTAATAAGTAGTAAATTAAAAAATAAAATCTATTATAATGATAAAGATATTTTATTTTATTTAGTATTAAAATAAAAAAATTATGTAAATTTATTATCTAATATTTAACTAAAATATTTGCTGCCAAATTTTACTAAATTTAAATTATATATTTATGAATATTTATAAAGTTAAAAAATATAATATTAAAAAAAATTATTGATTGAAAATATTTGTATTATATTTAAATAATTTAATATCCAAACGTATGCTAATAATTTATGAGTTAAATTAATAAATAAAGTAATAGTTTTTCTATTTAAATAATTTTACAGTTTGTTTTATATATAAAACTAAAAAAAATTAATCAATTTTTAACTTAAAATAATGAAAATATAAATGTAACATTTCTACATTACTTATTATAATAGTTTTAAAAAAATAAATCAAATAAATAAATCACTAAATCAAATTTCAAAAAATTAATTGTTAAATAATAATAATAATAATTAATATATAAATATAAAACTTTTCTAATAAAAACTAATATTAAAAAAATTTTATTATAAAAAAAAGTTACCAAAAAAAACAAACAAATAAAATCTTACTAATTATATCTTTATTACTAAATATTAAGTTATTTTTATGTAAAAAAAAAAATATTTTTCACATCAAGTCCTAACCGGTAATTATGTGTTAAATTAACTTTTCAATGAGTGTGTGTGTGTGTGTGAGTGGGTGAGTATTATTTGATGTGACAGTACTTATTTGATATGTATATAAGATAATGAGTCACACACACACACACAAAATACCGGAGCCTAGAGAGCGAGCACTGGTATGTAAATTATTTAGACATTTAAAAGATTTATATTAATAGATAACTGTCCACAAAAAAAAATCTAACGGCGCTCGATGACTATTTTTATGACATTGAATAACATATAAGCACTGGTATGTGATATGTGTCTTACATAACGGTTCCGGGAATTTATTTTTTTGTTTAAAAATAAATTTTTAAATAAAAAAAATATTTTCAGCGATTATTATCACTAATTTTTTTTGTTGATATTATTATTACTGTTATATTTATATATATTTTTTTATAATAAACTTTTAGTGAAATTTTAGTAAAACAATTACACGTTTTTGTTTTGAATAAAAATTTTGAAACAAATAATTACATTGTTTTTCCAGTGAATAATAATAATATTGTTATTATTATTATTAGTATATAATAATTAGTTTTATTTCAACATATAATTCAACATACATTGTATACAATTATTTTTTGTTTGTTAAAAATAAATAAATTTAATTAATTAATAAAATACTGCATTGTTTGCACTATTATTATTAGTTAGTATTTATTATAATTAACAAAACATTTTTTAAAAGTAATTAATATATCAAATTCAATGTAATTTATAAAATGTAATAATTAATAGTTTTTAAAAAATAAATGTTTACTTAAAACAACAATAGATTTTTCATTATAATGTATCTCATTGTAGATATTTTTTTGAAAATAAATTATTAGACATAAAACTATATAAACTTTATTTAATTATAAAGTTTCTTAATATTTTTGCCAAAATAATTATAAAAAATAAAATAAATATATGCTTAATAATAGTTTTAATAAAATAAAAAAATATTTATATTAACTTTTAATTTTATATTAATCCTAACATAAGTTTTTTTTTAAAAAAAAATCTTATAATTTTCAAATATAAGTTATGAATTATTTTATTTTATTATGTCATTTAATATTATATACTATAGTTATCTGTAAAAGATATCTATATAAATATAAAATATTAATATTTTTTTTAAGATTATTATCGCAATTAGTATTTAGTTAAACACTCACACAATTTTTTGATTTACTTATAAATATTATGTAACAAACACTTATCTAAAGTAATTATCAAATACATAAATATAAATGTAAAAAATATTTTTTAATATATATTTCATATTTTAAATTAAAAAATATTTTTTTTTGTTGATATCAGTTATATTAGAGAAATATATATATATATATATATATATATATATATATATTTCTATTTTAATAATAATTATCTCATATTAATCTAAATGACATATAGAAGTAAAAAATTATTTTAATATTCATTACATTTTTATTTTTTGTGAAACATATGTAACTTTAATTGAACTATAAAATCGTGATATAAAACAATTTTTTAGAAAAAAATATATTTAAATTTATTGATATTTACATTGATAAACAATATATATATATACTGTATATATACAGTAGTATAACTAAAAATTTCAATGTTTTATAACCTTATATAAAGTTTAAGTTTAAATAATTTTTTTACGACTCTATAGAAAAAGTAGAAATTTTTTTATAAGTGATAATTATGTGATAGTTATTAAATAAATAAATCAAATATATTTAAGTGTATATAATATATTTGAAGTAATTGATAATAAACATATAATTGCTATATTAAAACTGCTACTTATATTTCAAACAAAAAAAAATCAATTAAAATTTTTTAAGTTTAAGTAGATTTAAACATTTAATGATAAATATATAGTCTATATAAATATTGCTACATTTATTAAATAAATAAATTGCTAACCATTTTTTTGGGCAATAAAAAACTATTTAAAAAACAGTATATATTTACGTGATTTGAATTTTACATTTTAACAAAAATAAAAATCAATAAAATCACAGTCAAAATCAATTTATAGAGCACTTAATTCAGTATAAATTGTATAAAATATATTTTATTATAATATATATATAAATTTATTGATATATTACTAATATAGTAGCTATAGATATATACTGTATATTAATACAAAAAAATAATGCTAATATTTATTTTATTTTTTTTAATTATCAGCAACAAAAATAAAATTATCTTTATTTTAAAACTAGCTATAAATTTTAATTATTTTATTTAGTTTAGTTTAAATGTTGCCGCACCTAGTTAAATTATAAATTTTAAAATCTAGCAACTATTATGTCCTTTAATAATAAATAACTAAAATTTATTTTATTAGTTGTTGATAAAAAAATATTTTTGTTTTGTTTAAATAAATTGTTTATATTGTTATAAATTTTTTATTAATAATTACAGTTTAAACGACTGTAAATAGCCATATAATAAAATAATCAATCAACTTTTATAGTCAAATAATAAACACACAAAAAATAATTAACAGTTTGTTATATAAGTTATTTAAAAATAAATTTAAAAAAACTATTGTAAATAATTTTACAGTAAATTTTAGTTTGATATTTATTATATCAAGTATTATTATAAACAACTTAAATAAAATTTAATGATTAACAATTAAATGTTTAAATAGTTTTATATTAACTTAACAGTTTTATATGTGTAGTAGTAGTAGTAGTTTTTAATTTTAATTTTTGTAAAAAATAAAACTTAATAAACATTTATCAATATTGTTTATTTAAGTAAGTTTTAATTTTTAATAATTATTATGAAAATATTGTATTATCATAAGTTTATTATAAAGTATAATACTTTAACTTATTTAATTTTTAATAATAAATAATAATAATAATAATAATAATAAAATTCAATATTCATACTAACTTCATATAACATCATCATTAATAATATTTAACTATTTTTCTCATTAATTAAAATAAACAAAATTTGACTATTTTTAATGTAAAATATTAAATATCTACTAAAAATAAATACAATATAATATACAGTAAATCAAATTAAATTAATATTAAAAATAATAATTTATTTAACTACAAAAAAAAATAATAATTTTACTTTAATATTATTTCTATGACTATTTGAATACTTCTCAATTTTTAATAAAAAAAAATAATAATAAATAAATATAATTATTTTATTTGTTAATAAATATCTAAATCAATATCATTATTAGTATTAGTATTATTAGTAGTATTATCATTACTATTAGTATTAGCTAGGTGATATCTATTAGTTTTCAATTTTAACAATCTATTGAAAATCAATAACAAAATCAACGATATACCAGTGCTGGCCATTGTCCAGTAGACATAGCTAGCTGGACAGGTAGGTATCAATTGGGACAGTACGATAACCGATATTAGACATAGACTGTTGATCGTCATGGTAACCAGGGCAGCCAACAAATCGGTTAGTTTGCTAGAGGCCAGTGCTACCAGATTATACAGACAACCGATAACTGGGCCGAAACCTAAACCAAATAGTATGGCAGTCAACCATACCAACCATTGGTGGGTGCCATCACTGGTAATTAACAAGGTAACTACCGATGCTAGCAATACTATTAGCATGGTAGGTACAAGTATGGCTACCGGTCCCAGATATTTGCTACTAACTATTATCGATAGTAACTGTGCCAAAGCTATACTAATGTATAGTGTTGTGGTTATAAATGCGGCCGTTTGTGGTGTAATAATACCCCCGGTATATAGTTGTAAAAATTTTGGATAATATATAAATAAATTGACCATGGTCGATGTCATCAAGGCTAACATTGCTATTGATAATAATATCATCGATAATGTTAACTTATCAGGTGCCAGGTCAGATTTCAATTGTCTAGACATTGATTTAAGCCAGGTTATTAGACAATTATTATTATTATTTTGTTTTAGTCTATTGTTGTTGGTGCTAATAATTGCGCGCGTGCCACCACGTGCTACTACATGCTGTTTAGTAGTAGTAGTACAGGTAGTAGTAGTTTGAAATAATTTAGTAGCCATTATAGCTATACTACCCATGATAATTATAATACCGATAATCAGATAGGGTATACCAATTGATGATTCTACCATGGTGCTACTGGTGCTATTACTACTACTACTACTACTATTACTATTTGTATCATTTTGAGCACTGGTATCTATAATCAATGTTTTCGATAAATATGGTTCAACTATCACCGGTGCCACTATACCGGCCAGTGTGCTCATCAAACGTAGCACCTGTACATAGGGTCCGCAATCATGGGCCCATATCTCTACAAGCCACATGTTTATCATCATTATGTTGCCAATATTGGCAAAATTAAATATGGTATAGGTGATTTTTAGATCGGTTAGACTAGATAACCGGGGCAACAATACTATAGTAATACCGGTGCCCAACATTAACAGTGAACATATTAGCTGTTTGTTTAGTCGACGGGCTAATAGATTAACTAAAAACAAAACAAACAAACAAACAAATAATTTTAATTTAAGTATTAAATTAATTATTTTTATTTTATTCAAACTTACATATGCCACATAATAATAATGGAAATTGTGCTAGACTAATTGAACTAATTAGTTCATCTAGCTGAGTTTTATATATATAGGTCAAATCGGTTAGTGTGACCCCGAACATTACTTGCGGTATTTGCTAATTATTATTATTATTATTATTAATTACAACAAAAATTGTTGTTATTATATTAAACATAATTAATTGGTAGAAATAAAAATATTAATTATTATATTATATGAAAAAAAAAATTTGAGGCAATAATATAAAATTACATACCATTAAAAACATGCAAATATATAATGTTATCGATAGTATATATTTGTAGACAATTGAATCATTTTGTGGCATAATTTTTGTATAAATTTATTATTTTTTTAAATTACTGATTTATTATTATTATTGTTATTGCGATTATTATCCTAACTATTATTTGAAAATAAATTAATTAATGTAAAAATACTTAACAAATAATAAACATTTAATAATATTAATATGTTTTTTTTTGTAATAATATATTACATGTGATTGTAAATTATTATTTTTTCAAAAAAAATGCAAAATCATTTATGTCTATCATTAATGATAGACATAAAATTATTATTATTTTAAATATTTAGTAGAAATAGTAGTAGTCATAATAAATATTTATTTTGTAATATTATTGTTAAAACAAATTTATATAAACAAATTTAATATAATTTTTTTAAAAAAAATTATTTACAAATTATATATTTACTAGAATTGTTTAACATATTTATAAAATAAAAATAATTAATTATTTAAAAAATTATTCAATTCAATATCATTAGTACTATTATTGATATTATTATTATTATTATTATTATTATTATTAGCTAGCTGATATTTGTTAGTTGATTTTAGTTTCAATAATATACATATTATAGTTAATATAATTAATGATACAATTGTCGACAAAATATTCAAATAGACATAACTAATTGGCCAGTTAGGCAACCAATCAGTTAGCACAGAAATCCATACAATATTACCAATATTGGCCATTAGGGTGACCAGGGCACCAGTCAAATTGGTTACCGGTGCCGATAGTTCAATTAGATTATATAGACAGCCGACTACTGGACCAAACCCGAGACCATACAGTATGGTTGTCGACCACAACACCAGTTCACTGGTGGTGGTGGTGGTGGTTGTGTTGTTGTAGTCACAAAACACTGGTAGTGTAGCTACCGATGCCACAAGCATTACGATCATTGCCGGTATCAGTATGGCTATGGGTTGCTTAAGATATTTGGTCACAACAATACACAGTAACTGTGCAACAGCTATGCCTACGCTGAGGCCAGTTGTCATAAAGGCAGCCGTTTGTATCGGTAGACCACTGTATAGTTGGACAAATTTTGGATAATATATGTTTATTGAGGACATAGTACCTATAGCTATTAGTAACAGTGTCGATGACAGTAGTGTTAGTAGACAGGTTAGCTTATCGGGTGCCAGATCCAGTATAAATTGTTTATATAGTAATTTTAGCTTGCTAATTAAATTATGATTATTATTATTAGCATGATTATTTTTGCAAACAACAACACCAACACGTGGCACGTACGGTCTAATGGCAAATATTATCATCATAACTAGACTGCACACAATATGTAATATACCTATAATTAGATAGGGTGTACCAATTGACGATTTAATTAGCATTACCATGGTACTATTTGTTGTAGTAGTAGTAGTAGCACTGGTATCGTTTAGAGCACCGGTAGTTATTTTATCATCATCATTTATATTACTACTAGTGATATTAATATTGGTAGTCAATGTATCATTGGTTTTCGATAGATACGGTTCAACAAATAGTGGACCAAAAATACCGGCCAAACTGTTGACCAAACGGAGCACCTGTACATAGGGACCACAGTCCAGGCCCCATAACTCTACTATCCATATGTTTATACTGTAAGTGTTGCCTAAACTGACAAACATGTAGATTATATAATTAATTTTCAAGTCAACCAATTTGGACAATCGGGGTATAAGTATAACCATAATACCCGAACCGGACATTAGTATCGAAAATATTAACTGTTTGTTTATATAACGAGATATTATGTTAACTATAATTTTTTTTTATAAAAAAACAATTATTATTATTATTAATGTAAATATAAATTTAGTTATATATATATATGAAAATATTTATATATATATATATATATATATATATATATATTGTATAATTTTACTTACTTATACTGCAAAATAATAAAATTATTGTACCTAGTTTAATTATGTTAAATATTTCAACTATATTAGTTTGATAAATAATAGCCATATCAGTTACGGTTACACCAATAAATTTGTATGGTAAACACTAATTTATTTATTAAATAATAATAACAGTAAATTTTAATTAATTAATTAATTAATTAATTTTTAAAAAATATATTTTTTATAATAATAAAAATTCAAACTATTGATAAAATCAATTTTATATTTACCGATACAAACACACAAATATATAATGTTATTGTTAGCACATATTTATAGGCAATTGAATTTGATTTTGGCATTATTTTTCCAACAAAAAAAAATTATTTATTTATTATGAAATTATTAATTAATAATTAATAAATAATTTTTTTAAAACACAAATAAATTATTTCTATTTAATTATTGTCTATATAATTATTACTAACAAAAATCATATTTAAGTGATTATATTTATTAAGTATTAATATTTTACAATATATTATTGTAACATAAATTATTAGTAAAAATTTAAATACTAAATGCATAAAAATGTTTAGTCATATACTAACTAAAACATAATAAAAAAAATCGCATATAAAATAACTATTACAATACAATAGTTATAAAATAGTAAATTACTAATAATAATAATAATAATAATAAGTAATATTTAAGTTTAAATTTTCAATAATTATTAATAAAATTCACCTTAAAACTAATAATAATAATCAATATTATTAACTACAACACTATTAAATAATAATTACGTAATAAAAATAGTTTTAACATATTTTGCAATAAGTTTTTTTAATAAAAAAAATTGTTTATCATATATTTCAATAGCAAATATTTTGTTGTTTTTTATTTCTAAATAAATAAAGCTATAAAATTAAATTTACTAATAATTATTTTTATTTAAACTCTCTCTCTCTCTCTCTCGCTCTCTCTCTTTCTTTCTCTCTCTCTCTCTCTCTCTCTCTCTCTCTCCTATCTATGAGTTGTTTTACAAGTATTTATATATATATATATAATAACAACAAAAAGTTATGATTAGTTTCAATGACTTTTCAAGTATGAGATCAATGCGTGATTCAAGAGTGAGTGAGTGATTGAATGAGAGAGAGAGAGAGAGAGAGAGAGAGAGAGAGAGAGAGAGAGAGAGAGAGCTATTATTAATAAAAATATAACTTTTAAAAAATATATAGATATTTAGCTAAATAAACTCATCCCATATTATTATTATTATTAATATTTGTATTAAACAAATAAGTTATTTGACGGCATAAACAGTATATACCTGTACTGTACTACTGATATTATACAGTAATATACAATACAAGTAGTTTTGTTTGTTTTGATTTTTTTTTGTTGGTTTAACACAATAGTGTTAATCACTTATTTAAATTCAATGTACAGTATATTAATATAAGTTTGTGAGGAAATACATGTAAACATCGGTAAACTTAAACAAAAGAAACCAATAGTTGTTTTTTATATATAATGCAAATAATAGATTACTCTCTACTCTCTCTCTCTCTCTCACACACACACACACACACATACACACACACATACACACAYACATACACAYACACATACACATACACATACACATACACACACACATACACACACACATACATACATACACGCTTAGTCGGGTAAATAGACTCATCAATTATACGTATAAATAGTATATATATATATATATATATATATATATATATATATAAAGCTTTAACAAAACACACACACACTATAAGGTACAGTATAATAATGAACAGGTGTTCAAAGCTAACTGTGCAAAATTAATTGCATTATTTAGATTGAAATATATATACTATATATTATATAGTTATTTAATACAATAAATTTACAATATAGTATATACTTAAGTTAAATATTTTTAAAAAATATAGTATATAACTTGTAATAAAAATAAACATATAGTTGATTTTTCAAACAAACTAAAAAAACTAATAATATTTTGATAAGTTTTAAAAAATAAAAAATATTTTATCTTAAGTTTATAAAAGCATATCTAATATCATTAATAAATAATATACAGTTATTTTTTTTTTAAATCTTATAATCAATATATTTATACAGTTATATAATACTGTTTATTAGTGTATATAAAAAAACTAAAACATTTGAAAATGCAATATCAATGTTTTTGTGATTATTACTATTTATAAAATAATATATATATATAAATAAATATTTGTATATACAGTATATTATAATTTAATTTATATATATATATATATAATCTTATATTAGTCTCTATTTTTGTTGTGTCAAACTTGCATAAATAAGTAAATTATCCATGCTTAATTTAATCATGTATATCAATAATAATAATCATAATATGATAGCAATGGGAAGGCATCTGTATATATATATATTATATTAAATTTATTAATATAAACATTTCCTTCAACAACAACAACAAAAAAAACTATCTCATGCTTGACTGTCCAACAAAAAATAAAATAATAATCACACAAAATAATAATAATAATAATATGATTACCATATCATCATTTTTTAGACACACACACACACAAAATAAATTGACATTTAATGGATAATTTGTTTTATGCATATTTAGTTTCAGATGACATTACACACTATGTATGGCATATACAGTATATATATATATATACAGTATAATCACTATAAATAAATTAATATTATATTATATAATAAATACATACAAAGATAATATACATATATAAACGATAATATATATATATGTATATAAATGATACGTCAAAACTGATGATTTTTTAATGTTTTAATTTTAATATGATTTTTCCCACTAAATCATTATCATTTAGTTTTTTTTTAAAATAAACATTATGATAGACAAACATATTTTTGTTAAAGTTTGATAAAGTTTTGACAATTTTTAAACTAATAGACAAAATCAATATATTTAAAACAATAATTAAATTTGATATATTTATCATTATTTATATATATAAACAAATTTACATAAAATAAAATAAAAAACAAAACAAAAATTGTTTACTAAGTTTAAGATAAAAATTCAAAAAATAAATTTTAGTTCCCGATTGAGATAAAAATCATTTTTTTTAAACATTTTTATTTGTTTATTGTTTTTATTTCATATATAATTTAACATAATACAGTATATATATATATTATAAATATATAATATGTCTAAACTTTACATCAGTTAGTCAAATATAAATAATAATAATAATATAATTAGCAATTTATTTATTAAATAGTATACATTTTAGCATATTTTTTAGTGATAATTATTTCAACGTGGTCAATTACAAAATTCACTATCATATATAACAATTAAATATAATTTATATATACAGTATATTTATTATATACATACATATACTGTATGTTTGAAAATTGTATATTAGTTTTAATGAACATCTGTTTAAATTAGGGTTTAAATTAAAATCGTGAGTAAAATTTATGAGTAGTTTAGTAAAAAAATAAATAAATATATAGTATATCTATAATAATAATAATAATAATAATTAGCTCCTGTTTTGAACAGTTAATGAGATAATTAATGTTAATATAGAGTATATAAATTATATTATAACTTAATTAGCTATAGTATTATTATTATTATTATAATTAGCATTTTGTGTATTAATAAAATTAAAAATACATTTTTTATATATCAATCAAAATAAAAACAATTTTAAAAAAAATAATTATATATTGAAATAAATTTAATAATTTTTAAAAAATTGTAAAAATATTATTATACATTAACAATTAATAATTTTATTAAATAATATTAAATTATTATTACTAATTTTGATTATTAATAAATTTTTAAAAAATATATTTTTTTACCAAACTAAAAATAAATTGTTAATCAAAAATTTATTAATTATAATAAAATAAATATTTGTTATAAATTAGCAATAAATAACATAATATTAATTTTTAATGTCTATAAAAGATAAACAATTATTTATTATTTTGTTATAATATTAATTTGAATTATTATGATTAAAAACTGTAATTAATTAATCTAGCATCTTTTTTACTATTTATATTATAATAAATTTATTCATATTTATTAGCTAACAAATACAGTAGTATTATAATATACCTCTAATATATAAATTTGTTTAATTATTTTATAAAAAAATATATATATATAATTATTTTTTTTTAATTAAATATTATTAAAAAATTATCGATTAACAGTAATTTTATAATTATTAATAATACATAATTATTATATATCCACTAAAATACTTAATATTATTAAGTTTTAATATATATGTTTTTTTAGAAAAATAATTATTTTATTATAGACTATAATAATTTAATTTCTATGTTTATAATAAAAATATATATATATAATAAAATTATTATCTATTAATTTATATCAATGTATATTCATTTCTATTAAACTTTTTTTTATTAAAAAATAGATTTTTTTGAAATTACTCAAAAAAACTAATTTTTTAAACTAATTAATTTATAGTATTGACATTTTAAAAACAATAAATATATTTACTAATATATAATACATAATTAAACTAGACTATAGGTGCTTGAGGTTTAGACCCCGGATAGTTATTATACATATATATAAGCATATCTCATAAGCTCATACATGTGTGAAATATATGTTTGTGTGTGTGTGTGTGTGTGTGTGTGTGTGTGTGTGTGTGTGTATGTGTGGGTGTGGGTATATTATTGATAATGATAATATACTAATAAGATATTTTTCAACCACAATATACACCCCATAGTTATTAACTAATGATATACTACTACTACTACTAACTGGTGCTAACAAATTGTCAAAACGTGTAGCGACTTATCTATTGAAAGAGAGAGAGAGAGAGAGAGAGACTAAAAAAATACTACAACTAAATACTATACAGTTTTTTTACTATTACTGTGATATACAGTATATACCAGTGCTATATCTCTAAATATAGACTATAGTACGGGATATATATTTATCTCCCTGTCCTTTAAAAAAAAATTTTTGTGTTATATCA